TAAATATAATAAAAGAAATTAGAATAATGCAATTATCTCTAACCAAGACAATGGAAATTTCTACTGAATATAAGATAGTTCACACACTCAGTGTAGCCTTAGGGCAGAAGAGTGGTAGAAACACCTGAATGATAGAGGACACTCCTGAAACCACAGCCAGCTGCTCAGGAAGCCCTTGTCCCATGCCTCCTCTTGCCTCTCCCTCCCTCCAGTTCTCTGAGAACATCAAGGGTCGAGAATACAGTAATGAACCCGGGAGTGATAGCTCACACCTGTAATCCCAGCACTCGGGAAGCTGAGGCAGGAGGACTGAGTTCAAGGCCGCCTGAGCTACACAGCAAGACACTGTCTCAAAACAAAACAAAACAAAACAAAACAAAACAATTAGTACAGTAATGTGTGAACTGAAGAGCCTTCCAGCAGTAACCAGGGTAAGGGTTTATCAGCCTGGGGCACCACCATAGTGGCATGGGTATTCTATCCCACAGGCCACTTTTATTAAAGAAAATGGAGTGAGGCACACCTATAATCCCAGCACTTGGAGGCTGCGGCAGGAGGACCGCCAGGTGTTTGAGGGCAGGGTGGTCTATACAGTGAGAGCCTGCCTCAAAAAAGAAAAGGTCTTCCCACCAAGACAGCAGATGGCCTGAGGCTGCCGGCATTGAGGTTAGCAAGGCAGAAGAGGGCAGGAAAGTCAGGACCTTGGCAAGAAAAAACTTCAGTGGTGATTCTAGGGGAGGTTTCTTTAATTCCTGCTGAGAAAGGTCACCCTGGTGACCCAGGAAGGAATCTTGCAAGAGTCCATCTTCCCACGGCGCCATGTTTCTGTTCGGAAAGCGAGCCTGAGGAATACTGGGCCGTCCTCAGGAGAGCGGCAGCTGAGAAACGAATGATCCCAAATGGGAAGAATGACTTCACAGGGGTTCTGGCAAGGGAGGATGCTAAATCCAAGGGAGGATCTGACTGTTGAAATCTGTATTTGCTCAAACACATTCCTGTGTGATGCACCAGCCTCTGGTGGATTCCCAAACTTGAGATATTTTTAAAGCGTAATCAGAAATAAGCTTCTTGCATATTACCCAACTAGTCCTGAAAAGTGGTTGTCCTTAAGTTAGCAGAGGCTTCAGAAAGTCTTGAGACAAACAGAGTTCCTAACAGCAATTCCAGAGACAGGAACAATATAAACTGCCAAGAAATGCTGAGAACCAACAAATTAAGCTGTAGAATCCCTACGAATACATAGTTTACACACCCAAGTTAGGACAAGGTTAAGAAAATGAAGGATTTGGTTCACATGTACTATGTCTTTTTGAGACACGGTCTCGATATGCAGTTCAGGCTGGCCTTCAGCTCACTTTGTAGCCCAGGCTGGTCTTGAACTCCCAACGATCCTCCTGCCTCAGCCTTCTGACTGCTGGGATTACAGGCATGTGCCACCACGCCTGGCTCACATGTACTATGAAAGAGGAAATAATACATTGAAAACCATTGCTAGGGTTGCACTTGAGTGTTGATAAAACCCGATGCTCTTCCTCCAGCAGGGTCTTCTTTAGCAAAGCCCTGGGTGCGTTTCCTGAGGGATCTTCCCATGACAACACTGCTCTTTGGTTCAGCTGGTAGCGAGGATGGAACTCCCTTCACGGACACCGCATTTATCTGTCCTACTACAGGCTACCACCTCAACATGCCCGAGGCTCGGTCCTTACAAGAAGCCTCATTCTAAGACGTTTCCAAGCAGGATTTATCGGTTAGAAACCGCAACAGTGGTAAGCCAGTCAAACCGGACCCTGGAAAGCTACACACCCCCAACTTTACTTTCAGCGACCTGCGCTTTCCAATCACCCTCACCACTGGCGCGGAGACTCTCAGGGGTGGAAGGAAACTTCCTATTGTAATGACTGAGAAATTATGACTTAATAGGTCTGGGGTGGGGCCGGGCATCTGGGTTTTTAATAAGCTTTCCACAGAGTCACCTAAGGTTGGAAGTCCTTGTTCCTTGTACACGGTGATGCGGACGGCCCCGTCAGACCACCGTCACCGTACCCTGTGGCCCTCTGGGAGAATCTCCCTCAGGTCTCCTTCCTGCGCACCTCTGATCTCAGCGACACCGGGACACTTGTAACTGGAGATGCTCGGGGCCACACCTGAACCGCCGGCAGGACCTGGGTGGGCTGGAGGACCCGGGGCTGGACTCGGCTTACCGCTGCTTCCCACCCGCAGCGGGGGCTCCTGTGCGCCTGGGCCAGGTGCCGCGGGCCGACGCGACGCGCAGCGCGGGAGGGAGGCCGCCGGCAGG